TGACTTTCATTGACTTTTGAGTTTTAGGTCAAATCGTGGACTTTTGACCAAGGAGGGGCAAAATGGACTTTTTACCCTTCTGAGATTTAGTTGAGAGGCTCGGTCTAGCAATTTGAGGTTATTAATATTATTTATTAATTTGAGTTATATGTGGCATATTTTAGGAGGATTCTAGATCGGCAGTTCGGGTGCAAGGTTTACTTGTTTTCTACGAGATGTGAGTCTTCTCACTATACATACTTGTGTGGTAATTTATGTGAGACCGGAGGGTCTTATTCATGTACATGACTGAAGGGTCTTATTTGTATTATTGATTAGAGGGTCTTATCTGCTTATACTGAGATATGTGTTATTATGCATTCTGTCTTTGTGACTTTTGCTGTTATATTATTCTGTGTATAAGTTAAGCTATGACCGGAGGGAGCATGCTGAGACGGAGGGTCTTCACTGAGACACATGACCGGAGGGTCCTTATCGAGATTTAGCCATGAGAGGCTAATTATTTGTGTGTATGGTATTTTGGGGAACTCACTAAGCTTCGTGTTTACAGTGTTGATTAAATGTGTTTCAGGTACATCTCAGGATTGCGGGAAGGCGCCAACATGATTGTACACACCAACCTGACGATTAGGGTTTATGTGGATTCTGGGATTCTCTGACTTTGTTTTGTGATATTATGTATTCGACAATTATATTTTGGCACGGGTTGATGCTATGAACTATGTCTTGAGAAATTTGAAAATGAAAATTTTGTTTGAAAATTTGAGTTGTTACACTTCTAACAGCTTCCAAATAAACCTCCAATTTTTTAGTTTTTCTCAACAAAAAAACCTCACATTTTCTCGAAAAAAACCTTCAACAAGGATGTCGTATAAATATTCCAAAGTGCTCCATACCCCCTTTTAGAATATCCGTTCGTTTGTCACTTGATTCGTTCCTTTGTCTGATGATTCAAACTCTTCTCAAATGATCCGTTCCTTTGTCATATGCTCTATGAACCCAAGTGCTCAATTGAGCTTCAAGTGCTCTATTTAACTTAAATGCTCCATGAGAACGCTCCAAATGCTCAAGTCACATTTAACATGATTAAAACAAATATGTACAAGTTATCTAGTTTTACCGTAAGATTTAAGGGTTACACGAGTCACCCAAATTAACACTTTTGAAGCTGCAAGGCTTCATATTTGAAATAAAGTATGGGTGACTATTGGAAGTCAAAGTAGTTGCCTTCTTTTTTGTAACACCTGGCTTTTCATAACATGTCTTAATTACGAGATATGAATCTTATGAGGAGAGCAGATGATATAGAGTATGGAAATTTACATTAAATTTAGAAATGCTATTTAGCAAAGGATAGTTAAGAAATGATGTAGAGTTAATCGAGAGGATTCCGTGGATATAAAGATCGTCGAAAACAGAGTTCGTATGAGAAAGTTATGACCGTTTGAAGTTTAGATGAAAGTACGTTGCTATTTTGAGAAACTCAACGAAAGTCAAGTAAATGGTCAACTTTTGAACCTCACAACGTGAGGAATTCTTGTCACGAAGTGAGAAGCGATGAGTCACCGGAATGTTTGAGATTCATACGTGTCAAAACGAGAGTCTAATGTTCCTCATGACGTGAGACATATATTCTCACAACATGAGATGGGTCAGATCAGCTAGACATATCGCAAGATAGTACAATACGTATCGAGATCAGAGTGCATTAGATCCTCACCACGTGAGACCTAAGTGTCACGACGTGAGGATCATCAGACTATAAATACGAGAGCTTTTCATGTTATTTGAGAGAGTTTGTCACGCGGGATCGGAGATGCTGCTCGGAAGTCGTTTGAGGAAGATTTCTACGATGAAGTTATACCGTTATACGTGTGTTACAAGAACCGAGTTACGAGATACATCGAGGTATCTTTTACCAGTTAAATTGTATTTACGATATATGATTTATATTTAGATTTGATAGACCCGAGTATATTACGGGTTTTCGTGATATGGTGTTGTTACAAACCCGTTGGTAAGATCAGGAGTAAATATTATGGTTATGAATTTAGATGGGACTGCCGGGGTTATACATGTCAATATTCGAGAGTTACCCATTATGAGAGATTCAACTAACAACTTACCGATTAAGCATATTATGGTAATATTATGAAAATTGAGCAATCGAGCATGGATTTAATACTCTGAACTACAAAAATCACATATACTGAAAATAACATTAATGTTGTGATTAATGTAATATATTTTTTAATTTTTAGTTATGAATATATTCAAAGGGTATTTGTAATTAAAGTTAAACATAAAAAGATGATAACGTATTTTATTGGTTCATTTGTAATAAATTACATTTTAATTTGTTTATTTGGTTAAACATGTAGAAATTTTGTTTTAGAGAAAGAAAAGTGAAAAACATAAAGAGCTTTATATGCCGTGTTTAAAAAGTCATCGTACATATATTTATAGTTTTTTTTCTTAGGCATTTCTCATCAAACAAGTGCAATGGAAAATTGGTTAGCTTTGTCAAAACAACGTTTGAAAATCGAGGAAAAGTGAAGTGTTGCATTTATGGCAGCGAATCATTCATATTTTTTTTAACCGAAAATATATTTATAAATCTACTCATAAACTAACACCTAATTCCACCTATGTCCACGACAAGACTTGAACCTTCGATCTTAAAGAGGGAAGACACCACGTGATACCACTGGCTACAAGCCCTTTGGTGTAGTGAATCCATCATTACCAAGTGAAAGATTTTGCTCCTGATCCATGTTTTCATGATTATAAGAGAACTTTTTTTAAAGTTAATCTATTTTATAGTAATAGTTTCCGATTTGTTCTTATGGTTTAAAATAATTTGCAATGTTTAGTTTTTATTTTTTTCCAACTCCAGGATCAAAACACTATTTGTCATTAGTAATATACACGTAAGTCACAAGAACCTCGTAAAAATAGTAACTTCTTGTTCGGCTCTTGATTTTCAAGGGAATAATTTCAAGGCTCTGATTTATTCTTACATGGTCAGTGGTAGTTTGGAGGACTGGTTGCACCAAAATCCGCTAGTTGGTCCAGCGAACGAGGCGCCATCCAGGTGTCTGAATACAAAGGTTGAAAACGTCATGATATATGTGGCTACGTCTGTAGATTATATTCATTGTGATCTAAAGCCTAGTAACATTTTGTTGGATGCTGACTTGGTTGTTCATCTTGGTGATTTTGGCTTGTCAAGATTTCTTCATCATACTAGACATGATTCTTCTAGTTACACCAGTTCACTTAGATTAAAAGGAACAATCAGATATGTCGCTCCTGGTAATATATCTTACTCATATTCTATCATTTTTTCCTTCTTAATGGATACTCAATAAGGAAATTGACTAATATGTAACAACCAACAAAATAAAATGACAATTATCAAATAAATTTTGCCAAACAATTAGTTATTTTGACAACAATACAAGCTAAAAACACAATGAAAAAAATAATAACAATTAAAAAATTTCCTTATTAGGGTTATGAATTAAAAAGCTTATACAAGAATACTTAACCTAAATAATACAAACAAAAACATATGTACTTACCAGTAAGGTATAGTATGATTAACAACCAAATTAATTACTTATAATAAGTTAATCAACATAACTACATAAAATAACAATATCCAAAGTTATTACATATAATAACATTATTGAAACTATTGTAACTCTATCATAAACTTTATATGACATCATGATGTACAATTACTTTTACCCACAGAAGGGAGTGGGTATATAGTCAATTTGTTTGTTTATATTATGAATATTTACCCTAGGAGGAGAGAGGGTGTGTACCTACATCTTTTTGAGAAAATTCATGAAATAACCAAAAGTTAGAGGGTGTTTTAATAAATTAACCATGAAATTTTGATTTTTGGAAAATGACCACGAGATCCGCAGAGAGGGTTCTACGGATCCCTTTAATCCTTGGAGGAACGATGCATAGTATTGAGGAAATGACGTGACACCACTAAATGACAAAAAAATTCTGTGACTATAATGGTTCTGCAGAGGTGGCTCTGCGGATCCATTGTACACCTCTACGGATCTATAATATCTCTGAGGAATTGGTAGTTGACTGTCATTTTTCCGATTTTACCCCGTTGTCGATGGTTCCTCAGAGGATTATAGGGATCCACCTCTGCGGATTTCGTGGTCATTGTTAACATGTCAGCGATGGCTAGACACGACGGCCGCGAGGAGATGTCGACATAGAGCAAGGGCGCAACAACGATACTAAACCGATAACTCTATTTTCCGGTGACCGGTCATGATTACATAGAAGCTTCTCTTGGGCTATTTAATCCTCTACTTTCTTTTCTACCTCTTTGACTTTATTTTGTATATTGTTTTATGTTGCTCTTTTCCACCAATTTACTCATTGACGGGTTACATTACCCTCTTTTAGGGATATTTTCCCCTTATTTTGGCATAATTTTTTACTAGTTTGTTTATTCTCTTTTAAGTTTTGAGGGGGCTAACAATCAAAGGATACACATAAATTTTTTCAAAGAAAATCTAACCACTTAATACTAGTTTCCGTATAAAATACCCATGCTTTTCAACCAAATTTTTTAGGTTTAAATCTGTCCCTAAAGTGAATTTCTAAGCCATCTGAACATTTTTCTAGTAGTGTTCTCTATTGCTCATTCATGAAAGGCAGATGTCAAATTCTGTTTAAGAAGAGCATGATCAGAGTCTTTTTATAACGCAAATGTTAAATGTGAAAGGAAGTTTTAGAACTTGACCAACTTATACCCATCAGGGAAGTCTAGTAGCTTCTACGGATTTTTTTTAATGTAAAAGTTTCCGATGGGCTTTTCCCCTTGTAGACCAGCTCGAATTTGTAATGATCTCCTTTCTTCAGTCCATACACAACCCTAAAATCTTTCCAACCTGATCCTCCTATATAATAGAAATTAGAGTTCTTATGGTTCTTTAAATCCACATGACCTTTCATCTTCAACATTTTTGAGAGTCATCCCTTTGTGATTGATTAATCCATTCGACTTTGCAAACCTGCTTGGCAGACACTACAATAACCACCATTTTTAGTACAAAATTTTCAAAATTGTTAAATGCAATAAAATTAGGCATTTGCAGTTATTTAAGGCAATTCAAAAATTTGTGAGTGTTCATTCCCTCTTTTCTTATAAAGATGACTTAACTAAATTCAATTATCAGAATCGATTGTCTTATGCTGTAGGATTTCAATTCACCGACGAAGTATGGTCGACCATCTTCACAAAGAATGGAACCTTCCTTTCGTGTAAATTTTGCTTGTTTGTGGAATTTAATCGGGTTGCTTTTCAGAACTGAGCAAGATAAATTTTTTTTTGTTAATTCTGGCCTTGGATTGTTCAAATATAATACTACCTCCGTCCCAAATTAATTGTCTACATTTGACTTTTGAAGTCTTTTTTCTTCAACTTTGACCTTAAATATTTTTTGTTTTTGATAGATAATACTTGATGCAAAATATATAAATGGATTGTATTTTAAATGTCTTTCCATTGTTATAAGTTTTATCAAGTAATATATAACACAAATAAAACTATTTAAAGTCAAAGTTAAAGAAAAAAAACTTCAAAAGTCAAAAGTGGACAATTAATTTGGAACGGAGAGAGTATAAAGTTAAAGTTAACATATTTTTTAATTAAATCAATACAAAGAATAGAAAAAACTAAATCCAAATTAAAGAAAATAACGTACACATAAAGTTGACTATGGGAGGCTTGTCCTCCTCTTTCTCAGCAAGCTCAAACTTGAATGCATCACCTTCCTCCATTCCATTGGCAACTAGAAAAGCTGTGAATCCGGATCCAAGATATAAAAGTCTCTCATTAGCTTTCTTCAGTTCAACTTTCCATGATCGACCTTTATTGTTTCTAAGAATCATTTCCCCTGCTTTTAAACGATTTGGTATCCAAAAGTCAACAGGAAGATACTGAAATTAGAAGCACCGGCAATATGTAAGTGATTAAAATGAATATGTAAAATTTATTTCGTTTACCTTAAGAATTATGGGTTCTAAAAATTACCAGAAATGATCTTTTGAAGCTAGTAGGCTTCAGATTTGAAATAAAGTATGGGTGATTGTTAAGAGTCGAACTAGTCTCCTTTACTTGAATATGATTTTTCACTAAATTCTTTCCTATATCTTGAATAAACAAGAAAATCATGTGAGCTTTAAAAGGGGATTTACATAGCTATGTATGAAGAGGGAAAGAAAGATACATACTATAGCACTTGAAAACAGGCAATTCTCCGTTTTTAACAAGCACAAACCTACACACGTCTCCGACTTTCATGTGATTTTTTACTATGAACTCGAGCCAACCAGTTAAACAAAGCTCTGTTTTCGTTTTTGTGAGTGTTGCTGGCCATGTTCTTCATGTATCATCCATTAGATACACTTGTCTGTGTATCCTCTGGGTAATCAATCCATTTGATCTTGCAAATTTAACTGGAACATGCTGTAGAAACGTGTATATATGATTAATGTTATTACAGGGTTAACACAAAAGCTTTTCCAATAGTAGTTTTCCATAAAGTCCTGTTCAAGTAATTAGAATTTAATTTAAGTAGCTATACACACAATAATCATATTAAAGTTGAAAAGCATCTCATTTGACCTATGATGAGGTTGATGACTAACCAATCTTGACTTATTGATAACATAAGGTGTCATTTTGCCAATGAAACAGCCACTACCAACTTGAGGTATTTCTTCGTCTTCATATGCATAATCGTTCCTCTTTCGCTTTTTTACCTTCTTCGGTCCTTTCAAAAAACAATAATGTCGACCAAAATGAAAGCAACAACCCATGAATTAACTGTTATATGGAAAAAAAATTACCATTATAAACTGTACAAGCTATGTATGAAGCATAGTCCGCTTACTATGTGTACGGATCGTTTCAGATTCCGTCAGAGGTTCTTCTCCTTCCATCTTGTCAAATAGATTTGGGTAATGTTTTTCGCATGTAGATTGTTCAAACACCATAACGTCAAACACCATGCACCCTTGGTTTTTGAAAACAATAAAGTCAAACTCTTGGACTCCATTCTCTCTCACAAACCTCATCCAACCGTCACCAAAAACTCCGTCATCAATGTCTACCGACCATTCGTGACGCCCACGTCTCAGTATCGCTTCCGAGCATCTCTTGCCATTCAAGTTCGTCAAGAAAGAGCTTGGAATCGACTGTAAAATTAATGCGTATATACAACATAATGTGTATCCGAGAAGAAGGGGTATATATGTATAAAGAATATTGCAAAACTATGCACATTAATGACTTGTAAGTGAAAAATGTACAAGCTGTACGTATATGATGCAGAGAAATGCTTACAAGATTTAATAAGAAGCCTGGAGGGACGAACTTGAAGAAATGAGTTGGAGGACGTGCCATGACTAAGTTGGAGTGAGTAGTGGCAGTGAGATTATAAACTCGCTATATTTTGACTTTTGAGATCTGCTTTGAGATGTCTTCGAAGTTCTAACGATCTCAAACGTCGCCATCTAGCTAGAGTAAGTAAGTACTAACCGATAGACTCTTAAACTTCCATATGAGCACCGTTTTCAAAGTAATCGAGTAGCATTAATTGATCTATGTTGGACGGGATCTAATGTTATCACAATTTTCACAAAATAAAATATTTAAAAAATACTAAACAAACCTAAAATACCATATTATTATGAGAAAATAACCATAATAAATTTTATTTCTATGTTTTACCAAAAAAAAAAAGCCACAAAAATGGAAAATACCAAACTCGCCATAAATTCTGCGAAAATATGGCTGGTTTGCAATTTTTTATTTTTTTTTTTGGAAAATGAAAATGACGTCGTTTTAGAAGCGTTGACAATGCCGGAAATCGATATGTTGTTATTGGGAACCGATCTAGCAACGGAAGAAGGTCAGGTAGAAGAAGAAGGAATAACTTTGTTGACAACATATCCAACGAAAGAGGTAGAAACAATCAAGTCGGTATGCAACAATCAATTCGCAACACCATTTCAAACAACAGTAGTTCCACGTCAAATGCTAGTAGAACGACAAATTCATTATGTTGAAACAGTAAATTGTCAGAACTTGCTTTTATAGAAATGATGATTTTATAGAACTTGCTTCGGTGATGCTGATAATGTTACGTATAACGATGATGTTAACAATGATACCTGTCATAATGAAGGTGGAAATGATGATTTTATAGAAATTGATGAGCCAAGAGTTGAAGTTGCTCTAAGCAAATCAAACATAGGAGAAGATGTTGTTTAAATGGCCAATTGTAGTTAACAATCATACACAAAGGCTATTTTTTGGTATGCCATATATACCGAATTGTCCTGAACATGAATAAACAAACGGTCCATCGCGCAACCAAAAATCAACTGATCCAATAAAGGTGCTTCAAATTTACAATGACAAATAAGCACTTCAACTAGTACTAGGAGTAAACAACTAGTACTAGGAGTAAAAGTATAGAGGACGGGGTTTGATACACAACTGTCACATCTACCTAAAAACATATTAATTACAGATAACATGTAACGACTCATATTTGTATACATCTATTCTAAGGGATATATAAGAGTTTTATCTAACAAGTGTGGAATTCTACTCTAATTAAAACCTTTACATCCCAGGACAAATCAAAGGTTTCCCATAAAATCTTACATACAAATTAGAACGACAAGGAAAATAAATAAATATCAATCTACTATCTAAATCTTCCTTGTGCTCCTATCTTCTCTTCTGGTACCATAGCTGCTACTACCTGAACCTGTAAAACATAAAGTTAATGCAATATTAGACACAACGTGTCTAATGAGTTATTCTTCTGTCTTTCCTTATCTCTCTTTCATTCTCTTTCTCATACTCTATCATCTAACTCTTTGTCTAATAGAAAACATTGCTATTCTTTTATCTTATTTTATTTATCTTTGCTACTCTTCTTTAATCTTTCTTTTTCCTCTTTCTCATCTCATCTATCTCTTTCACTGTCATCTACTATGTTTCTTAAACTCTTCTCTTAGCCTCTTCTCATGTTTTTCTCAAAGTTTTTGTACATGATCTAACCATGTCTCTAACTTTATCTATTCAATGCTCTAACTCTTACTCTGTTCTTTCTTCTATCTCTTCTCTACTCTTTCTCTTCTATGCTCTTTCTCTTCTTTGTTCTCATCTAGACCCAATGGTCACGTCTTATACCATACTCTAAGGGAACAACTTCACACTACATTACTAGGCACGCTCACTTGGTTTTACTCCTCTCTCTTTTATGATCCCTCGTGGATCCTTATTCTTCCTTCTTTTCTTGAATCCCTCATAAATTCCTTACTCTTAATCCCTCGTGGATTACATCTAAGTTGTTATAAAGAACTCTCTTGTCTTGTTCCTCCTAAGGAACCTTCCTCTATCTTCTCTGATCATACACAATTTGGATTCCCACAGGAATCATCTATCTACATTCCCAAAGGAATCATCATCTCTTTCCTCGTGGGGACATAATTGATGGGTTTTGTATACTACAACATCCTATGGTGCACATACAACCCTAAATACCTTGGATCTATGTTTTCACTAATTATACATGCAAAGGAGTTTCCAAGGCATTAAACCTATAACTAGCATGCAATTTGACATAAACAATACAAGATACTAGTTAGAGTAACATACCTTTTTATGTGGCTTGAAGTCTTGATGTATTTGGTGTTGCTAGAAAGACTTTGGCCTTTAAGAACTTAGTGCCCCAAGTGTTGCAGCTCAAATGGAATCACAACTCACCTAGGACAAAGGCGACTCTTGAGAGAGAATTCCATGCACCAAAACACCTCCATATTTCTCTAAGAAAAGAAGCCCCACGTTTTTGGTCATGAAGTAACATATTTATATGTTGGATTCCAAGGGTCATGGGTATAACCCAAATCCATATCCGTGGGTTTTATGATCCATGGTTCATGTGGCCCAACTCTTTATGTATCCATACATGAACTTGGTCCAACATGGATCATAAGCCCAACACATATAAATATAACTAATTACCATAATTAGTCCCCATAGATTTAATTAGTCTCTTTTGATCACTAAATTAATTCCAAAATAATTCTTGATAAATACTAATTAAAACCATATGATTTCACTAAATTAATTCTCAAGAGTCCATCCTAACAAATTGTCCTAGTGTTATGCAACCCAAATGGACCATGCTACTCTCGGGTCGAGTACATACCAATAATAGTTATGGGCCTAGACATCTAATCCAACAGTCTCCCACTTGGATAAGTCTAAAACTACTATTGCAAGTATGACTCCAAAACCCGACTAGCAATCGTAGCTCTTAAAAGCCGCTGTCAAACTCTGACCTAGTCAATGACGTGTCCATTAGATAAGGGATCATATATTCCTCCATTCTAGATATCATATGGACTGATACATGGATCATAATCATTCTCTCTGTCCATCTGTTGTTTCCCGATTTCCGATTTATGACGACTGACTAATTGAACAAATCAAATCAGTCCAGGCCCGGCCGAGCACTTACGTTTGTCATCACTAAATCATCGAGGGGCCCACATATATCGCTTTTATCCCTCTAAGGGTAAAAGGAATGGATAAACTTCGACTCATATGCTTGTTCTATATACTTATCAAATCACACACAAAAATGCGTTTTATAACACCAAGTTACTGGCGTATTTTCACATAATCAATGTGTAACCGACTTATAGACTGCAACTCATATCTCTTGGTTTGAAGAATATAAGATATTATTGTCTCATGATCACTCGTGATAAAATCCATGAAGTGAGTCAAATGAGCGTGGGTTTAATCCAATACTCGAATCTTATTCCAGGAGCACTCATGAATACTGCAGCTATGTCTAGGCCACCTAGACAAACTACAGACCCATTCATTACAGTCTTGCCTCAATACCTACTTCCAAAGTATGATTGGCTGTGGATGGTTTGAATAACCTAGTTATTTGGGAAGTCAAAACATGTAAAGTGAAACACAATAATAATATTAATCCTATATGGCCCAAACACCTTTGAGTCATATTGATTACTCATTATTCATTGTATAATGTTTCGGATAATCAACTTAATACTTGAATTAAAACAATAGTCATGCCATGCTCCAAGCACGCACACTATGTTTATCTATGGTCTTTTCTTTTTGGATTAGATCAATTGAAAACATTTCAATGATGCTCATTTCACAATTCCAAATCCTCATGATAAATGTAAGAATACCAAATTCTTACCATTTACCGAAATCTGTTAGATTCTAAACTTATATGCATTGGTCCTCTAGTAATGACTATGCACAAAAGTCACAAAGACTCGGCTACAGACATTACAAAGTATTCCAATGGAGAGAAATTCCACGGAAACGAAGTCTCACATTCAAAGTACATTCCTTTGAACATCCTTCTTGCATTAAGTTTTCTAATCTTACACAAATTTAATGAATAACTTCCACCTATGGAAACATTTCCATATTCCCATTTTGACTGTCACTTCTAAACAAGAGTTGCCTCTTTTCAGAATATGTCAATATGGTCTTTCCAAAATTTACACTATACTTCCAACTGTCCATGAGCAACCAATCTTTGGTAAACCTTATATTGTCCTCGACAATTGCTTAATCATTTTAGTCATATCCAGTTCTATTACCTTTTCCCTCTTAATGCCCTAGGCATTTGGAAAATTTAGAACGGATGAATGTTATAGCATATGCAATCGATCCTATACCTGAAGCATATGGGATACGATTCATAATGTCTCACATAAAGACATGATACTTGACCAGTCCTTTGCTATAATTTTTTTTATTTGCCATGTTCTCACAATTCAGACTATGAAAAGGGATGTCGTAATCATAATCGAATTTTAGAACGCAAATAATGTAATTATGACTAAATTTGATTAAAAACTCACAATCTAAGCTTTTAGAATTGGAATGAAGTATAATTTCATCTCCTTTAATTATAGCAAAACAACTTTTCAAACCCTGCATATTTGCAAATTTGAAACTTTGTTTTCTACAATTAACATTGCTAACTGCAATACTTAACATAATAATCATGCTCCCATTAACATGATAATTATTAGCATAACACTTATGCTCCCACTAGCTTTGACATGTATCCATAAATCAGCTGGACTTCTAAAAATAAATACTTTATTGACTTTCTTACCAAAGTTCAGATTTCTGATACGAGATGCTTTGATAAGACTTTACCAAAATCATACACCTTTCCTTAGATAGCTCACATGTGTGTCTAAACAATTATGAAGAGAGATGCCATAATCATAATGTTCAGACCTTTTGCCATTCTCACTAGTCTATGTTAGTGTGTCGGTAAACCACACACGCTCCACTAACGACTATGAGAATGCAAA